TCCAACAAATCTCTCCTCCTGCTCCCTTTCAATCTGTACCACTAAACCAAACCTCTAACCGAAACATTCAACTTTCCAAACTATATATATGTCCCTCCAATCCTAAACCCTCCTCATCAAAGTTCAAACACAAAGCATTCAAACCCTCAACTTCTCTCATTCTCAGTCACCAACATGAGCTCAGTCGAACCCTCGACCTCCATCGCCATCCCCAACGAGCCAACTGAAACCCAGGAAAAAGCTCCTATCGCCGCTCCTGCGAGCACATCCAGAGCTCCAAGGTTCGCATTCTTCAGGAAAACAAAGGTTGAGAGAGGATGGAAGCGAGGAATATCTCTCTGCGATTTCATCCTGAGGCTGTTAGCGATCGCTGCTACGCTCTCAGCTACTATTTCTATGGCTACCACTGATGAGACCCTTCCCTTCTTTACTCAACATTATCAGTTTTACGCTAATTTCTCCGACCTCCCAGCATTAACGTACGTAAAAACTTTTGTCAAGCAAATTTAGTTCGAATTATACTTGAATGTGCAGGTGAATAAACATATATATGGATTCTTTGCAGATTTTTTGTTGTTGGGAATGCAATTGCGGCTGGACTGTTGGTTTTATCTCTTCCGGTGTCTATTGCAGGAATCATATGTGCAAATGCTGCTGGCCCTCGCCTTTTCCTCCTCGTGCTCGACCTTGTGAGTGTTTAGTCAACTTATCCTAGTGAATTAGGCATGTCTGTTTCGTTGTTCGACTTTTGTCGCATGCAGTGATAGTCGCAAGCACTTGATACGGTTTTAAACTTATAATTTGTAGTTGTAACTCTGAAGTGTTTGTTTACCGATATGAAGTGGTTTGAAATTTAGGGATTGGTTGCAGTTGGAGTTGCATTTTAACCCTATTTACTGTTCAAAAGTTACAACCGCATAAACCGTCAGGTGCAGCTGGAAGTCATTTGTAATTGCAGTTGCAACTATCTCTATCAGTTCAAGTGAAGCAAACAACTAACCTACAATATCTTTATATGAACTCTATAATTGCAGTGAGACAAACTGTAATTACAACTTTAGTATGTTTTTTTTATGTTACTGATGAATGCAATGTGGCTTATGGATTGATTTCAGGTTCTGGTAGCTCTAACAACTGCAGCAGCCTCAGCTGCAACAGCAATAGTCTATCTAGCTCACACCGGCAGCGACAAAGCCCACTGGGTTGCGATCTGCATCAGATTTGACGGATTCTGTGAACAAAGCAGCGGCGCCTTGGTGGCTTCTTTCATCGCCATCGTGATCTTGATGCTGATGGTTGTCATGGCTGCGCTTGCTCTGAGGAAATGCTAAGCTTTGCTTGTTTGCGTTGTGTTTGTGTTCGTTACGTTATTACTACGTACCGTATTGGATGTTGAAACTGCTTTGTGCTTTAAGATTTGTGGTTGTGCGCGCGTGAACTTGTAATCTTGTATTGTAATTTACAGCACAAATATTTGCAATTTGAAGAAGTGTTGCTGTCTTCCTGTAGCTGAGAGCTGAATTTGTTGAGTAACTGCGTAATTTACTTTGGTCATGGAATTAAGATTGAGATACGTTTAAAATAGAATTTGGATAGGTTTAAAATAGAATTAACACATGATGAACAGTACATTTAACAAGGTTTAAAAGTTTTAAGGGGTTATTTGGATTGGGGGTAACCAGGGGTAAGGGAAGTTAGGGGAACTATTAATCTTGTTTGGGAACTCATTTGAGGGATAACGGAGGGGAAATTAAGTGAATTGAGGTGAGGAATTGTGTGATTTTGTTCCACCCCAAAATGGGGTGTAATGGAGGTGAAGAGGATTAATCAACTAATAATTGTCCCACATGGAAAATTTTACCCCCTCAAGACCAAATCGCACGTCTGAAAATGAGTTTGGAGTTCCCTTTCCTTCCGTATATTGAAGTTCCCAAACATGATAAAGTAAGTTCTCTTCCATTTTGTATGTAAGATAATGTAGTTAAGCTATCTTGTTTTCCTTTATTTTAGTCCCACATCGCTTAGGATTCTCGAACTTCTCTCCTTGCTGTTGTATATAAACACTTCAATACAATGAATAATATTCTCTCTTTTTTTCCCCAAAAGTACAATTCTTATCATGGTATCAGAGCCTCTCTATTAGCCCTAGAGAGACATCTTTCTTCTTCCTTGATCTCAAGCCGTCGAGGGGGATTCGCCACAAACTCTGTGCTTCCCCTCGTCCGCCTTGATTATTGGCTTTGACTCCTTTCCTTCGTTGTGACCTTATTCACACCTAAACCGCCAATGTAACAGTAGGTCTCGCCATTGCAACTCTAGCCACCTGCTTTGCTGCCACCTTGCCATCGGCTGCTAAACCGCACAGCCGACCACTCTCCTTGCGACCCACAACAACCCTTGCAGCCCACGCAAATCCCCACTCAAATCAGCTCTTTCACCAACTATACAACGAGCCCATCACACTGCATACCAATTGTTCAATGTAATGCCTGAACACAACACCTAAACATTGCGCACGTAATCCTCATAGCAACAACCACCAACTGTTAGATTTAATGTCCCAACTGCAACGCCCACGACAGCGACACCGTTGAACCATCTCCAACTATAGTGCCCATGACAGAAACATTGCCGGACCCTTTACATATGCAGTGCTCTCGCTAGCGATGGTGCCAGACCCTCTCCAAGCCTTCACCGGACAGCACCATGATCTTGCCACCTACAATTCTAGCAACAAATGTGCTCCAATTCAACTCTCTCTTGCCGGGTCACGACAACAACCATCTATGCAACATTGACTCATCTTATCCAAGTACTCAGTTCTCTACCCACCGTGAATCTGAAGCCGGGGTTGGGGGGAGGATGGTTTGTAAGATAATGTAGTTAGACTATCTTATTTCCTTTATTTTTTCCACATCGCTTAGGATTCTAGAACTTCTCTCATTGCTATTGTATGTAAACACTTCGTCGTAATGAATAATATTATATCTTTTCTTCCCAAAAGTTCCATTTCTTATCACTCCATACTGAAGCCCAAACAAGATTTATGTTTTCCCTCACATTCACATTCCATTTGCTACCCTTAATGTCTCTTTACTTAACTTCCCTTCTCTCGTGTATCCCCAAACAAAGGCTAAAAGTGGCATGTGAGTGTCACATGGAAATTTTTAGGAAAATACTCTCACATTTGTACAAAAGGTATTAAAGTATAAATTTTAAAGACTTTAGGATATAAAAACAAATGAGGATATATTAGTGCAAAGTAGGACAATTATAAGGTATTTAAGTGATAATTAGCCAAAATGGCATTACAATGATCAAGGTAGGGGTTATTACGGCTCGGATATGATACTTAGCATATCCATGTCTGCTTACTTATCACATATACTGATATAGATTCAAATATGCCTTTATATCCTTAGATATGATACTTACCATATCCATATCGACTTACTTATTATAGGATATAGACACAAATTTATCTCGGTAAGAAAAGCTTATAACGATATCTGCTATAAAATCGGATACATATATGGGTATGCATGCAAATATAAATGCGGATATACATGACGATGCAAAACAACTACTAGAAAACCAAATAATATTAAAAAGACTATAGTTCATGTATCACAAGAGAGTTCATTAATAAACTTTTTATATAAAAAAAATAGATCTTTTGACCATCAAAATCAACCTCAAATGCATTAATCTAAGGATTAAAATAGCAACTATATGATCAACATATATTCAGATATTTTCAATATGGATTTGATATTTTACTACATACATATATTCGTGACCATATACTATCGAATATAGATATTAATAATCATAATAGATACAGATACGAATAAACCATTTTGATATTTTTAGCCACCCTATTTGAAGGGGCATACAGGAAGAAAACCCCTTTCATATGAAAAAATAAAAAATAAAAAATAAAAATAAAATTGAAAAAACGTGTATAAAGAATAGTAGAGGGCAAGCGCCCCCTCACACAGCGAGCTCTAGCCATGTCGGCATTAAGATGGATTTCTTCGCGTTTATCGCTCAATACTCTTCGAAACCCTAACCCTAACCCTAAACTTCCTCTTCCATATCAACTCGTCTCCTCCCGCGGTATCGTTTCCAAGCTCTTCGTTGGAGGTGAGTCCAACACCAATTAGATTGTAGTTACCAATTAAAGTCATCACTTTTGTTTCCTTGTATTTTATTATTATCATTCTTATTGCTTAAAAAATAAAAATAAAAATTGTTATCTGTTCCACTTGAAAAGGAAAGGCATTTAGAACTGAGTGCTTTGAATGAGTTGATGATGAATTTATCATCATGATATGATTGGATGGAATGAATCTATTGTTAGGGAAATTTCAGGATTCTTCAATTTGATAAGAGAAATAATTTCTTGCAAATAGTGGTGTAAGGGTATTGGAGTAACCTTAATAAGAGTTTGATCATAGAAGTCTGATTGTAAGTGACAGTATCATTCTGGGTGCATCAACATAGTTGTATGTTCTCAAGTTTCTTTGTCCCGTTATCGATTCAATCTCGATGAATGTTCAGCTAATTATCTATTATTGGTCAATTGCAGTGAGATATTAGTTAAACTGCATGCCCATTATTTCCCTTTTTACTGTAATTTACAGCTTATAGAGTAAAACTTTGTACAATTCAACGCGTAAGCTTTCGTAGTGATCATCAGCATTGTCCCCATCTTAAACCCTTGGCAGTCGAACTAATAGGGACATTGATGGAGCACATGTCAATTCAAACAGAGTTCTGAAGAATAATCAAACAAGTCAAACGGATTTACATTCACAAGCATAAGCTTCAGGTCCTGTAAATATATTATGAAAGTAATACCTGTCTACAGCCCTAATGTCAAGCTAAATCAAATGCAATTTTATGGTTTTAAAAAGTTATCAAGTAACAATCAATCACGTGTTTCCTTATTTTTTGTCTTTCTTTTCTAACTAGTAGAGAATCATCTTGTAATCATTGTTTCTACAATAATTATCAAGACATGATACACAAAGGCGATATAATACTTAATGATATGAGATATGCAATCTCAAAAGTACATAAAAATATGTGTATATGTAGAGGAATGTGTGGGTTTACATTGAGTATATAATGTCAATTTCATATGCATCGAAGTTGATTAAAGTAAACCTTGCAAGTTAATTAGAATTTCCTTTAAAAAAAATTAAGAATAGTGTTATACTGAAAATCATCCATAGAACTCTCAAATGTTTTCAATGTTCTAAGAAAAAGAAAAGGAATAACAACAACAACTCAAAGCCTTTATCCCAAATGTTTGGGGTCAGTTACATGAATCCTATTCTTCCATTTTGTTCTATTGAGTCCAAGAGATTGTGAAGAATTATAACATCTGCAAACTAAAGAAAGGACAAAGATCACATTTAAAACTGCACAGTCAATTAATAATATCATCATCCTTTCATACATTTAGTAAAAAAAGAAAATAGAAAAGAAGATTTTTTGCAGGTACTCCAGTATGCCAACAATGAGTTAAAAACTACGAATTCATGCAATTTAAAAAAAATCACATATATTTTCTATAAAGCTAACACATAGCATGACATTTTTCACTCATCAAATAGAAATTTCCAAAAGATTTCCTCAGCAGATACTCATCAAAGCCAAAAAAATCAGCAAGAAAAAAAGAATTTCAGCAAAGAAGATGACAATATATCTTCTTCAATATTTATCACATATTAAAGAAGATTGGTCTTCTTCTTTGCTGGTCTTATTTCTTACATATTAAAGAAGACTAGTCTTCTTCTTTGCTGATCTTTTTTTTAAAAATCTTCATTTCTCTCTTTGCCTACTTCCTTCTCCTTATTTGCTCCTTTAGCCTCTTCTCGTTTTCTCTCCTAGCTCCTTTTTTTGGAAGACCCTGCATAAGGAAAATGTGTTCTTTCCCACAAAAAAAAGGAATAATAATAATAATAATTCAATAAATAGTAAAGAGGTTTATTTGCAATTTATCCTATAAACAAATCAACTAATATATTTCTCTAACTTAACAGTACCTGATTCATTCAAGTTCGAGCTTGCTCCTTATCTTCCGACTCGTACTCATATATGACCCAATCAATCCTCTTGTCTTTTAGGTTCCGACACAAAACACAAGGGTGTTCTTGAATCTCATCATGTCACCATGTGGCGTCACCCTATTGGTCCTCATCAATGGACTACACAAGTCTTGATCTAAGGGCTTGAGGATGTGGGGCGAGAGCGAAAGCCCCAAAGCAAAGAGAGAGTGAAGCAAATGAAGAGTTTAGATCAAAAACCTAATTCAAGATGGATGTTCCACGAGCTTCTCAATAGGATTCAAAATAATTCTCTATTGTGAATCCCATCTGCTTTGGATGGACTATGGAATATAAAAATGGTATAGATCTCAACTTGCCTATCAATCTAATGCGGTAAAATTTAGAATGTAAATTAGAAACATGAAGGTTTAGAGGTCTAATATATAACCAAGAAGAAAACTTAGGATCTAATATGATAAAAACCCTACAAAGAAATCTTAGAGAATGCTGATCTAATTATCACCTGAAATCTAAGAATAGAACGCAGGATATCTCTCAAAATTCATCAACAAAAGGAAAAAGGAAAGGACAAATGATGCTCAGACAAACAACAGTATAAAAAAGAAACCAAAAATTGGTTAGAGATTACCCGATAATATTTTCCTACATATATTTCCAAGAGGGTCTCATTAGGCAATCTGATGGTTCACAAAATTAGTGTGCTAGCATATGGGGTTTATATAATTATATAGTTCCATTGTATCTAATATGCATTGAATCTGTTCATATAACATGGATCCAAATGCATGAACACATATCTTTTTGATATTCTGAAATATCTGATGTAATATTTTTTCTTTGACCAAATTAAAGAAGATGCATGAATTTAGGATGCAGGTTATTTCCCTTCGAGGAATGATAATCTTTAACTAAAAGGGGTGTTCCCAATGTTTCTCTCACAAATTAAATCCTGGCTTGGTGCAAGATACACGCTTTTATATCCTTCCTCTTATAGTAAATGCAATATTCATGTTTATTTTGTCCAAAAGAAACATGTTTTTTTTATTTCTTTTACAAGTACTGGCAGTCTTGCACGTGCCACAAATTAAAACATTAGTTTTCTAAATTTTATTTAAGAAAGAAAAACAATAGCTTTTGTGTGTGTGCGCGCAGTGCGCGCGATGTTAAGTTGTTTATTATTTGGAACTGCTTTAGAAAGTAATTAAGATAAGTTCTCTAAGTTATATATATAATGTTAAGCTATTTATTATTTGAACCTGTTTTAAAAGGTAATTAAGAGAAGTTCTCTAAAGAATTGTGTATGTAATTTTCCTTTACAGAGAGAGAGAGAGAGAGAGAGAGAGAACAATAAAATTCTTTAATAAAATTGATTAGGGAGATTTTGTTATAATCTTTAACAGAATATTCTAGAGAGAGAGAGAACAATAAAATTTCTTTAATAAAATTGATTAGGGAGATTTTGTTATAATCTTTAACAGAATATTCATCACAAATTTACATTTTTATAGTGACAATTCTATAGTTTTATTCTTGTATACTAGTTTGCGGTCCGTGCGAAGCACGGTATTTTTTTTTCTACAGTAATCCCGTTTTTTTAATATGCACGATTTGATTTTTTGGAAGTGCTACAGTATCCCGTTCTGCTACAGTACCTTCCAAGCGCTACAGTATACACGTGTGCTACAGTAACACTTTTAACTACCTATGTGCCACAGTAATTTCTACTGTAGCATTTACTATAGCATGAACAGTGAATCGCTGATCCTCCTATTTGTATAAAGGAATAGATTTAAAAGCTTAAAATTTATTCTAATACTCAAAATTTTAATTTAGAAAATTATTACCTGTATTTAGTAATTTTATTTAACAGATAATGAGGTACTTGTAATAGTTTTTATTTATCTCAAATTATTGCAAATCATATTTCCTAAAGGGCTTAAACATAAAAAAAACATGTTTAAACATACCCAACAGTAAAGTGGAAGATGAGTAAGTGGGTAAAAATAACTTTTTATGAAGGGTTAAGAAGTAAAAATTGTGCTTTAGCCTTGAACATACAGCTCGTGCAAAGGGGAAAAAAACGAAAGATAAACTCAATTGGTTTTATCATCTACGCTTCTGAGAGAGGACGATCACAGTCCTTTTTCTTTGAAGCTACACGCGAGTTTACCCTTTTACCCCTCACTCTTCTATTGAGGTTGGTTATTCAAAATTTGGGTGCCCACGGTTGGTTTTTAATAACATAGTATAGATATTTGATATGAGTTAAATATATGACAAGTTTTTAGATAAAGTGTTGGAATATCCAGCGAGTACTGATATGCTAGATATATTGAACACAGGTGCATTTCCTAAATTGAAGCATGCATGCAACATAGCTTCCATGAGTAGATGATGATAATTGATGCTTGCATCATAGTAAGCTAGCTGAAAAAAGTGATTTTGGTTTCATTAGTTGTATTATCACTCATATCAGTTAAATTAATAGGCACATATTCTCTTATTTAGTGACATTAGTTTTAAGGTTGCCTTCATCTATTGTCATATAGGATGTAGGTACACTTGTTTATGAAAATGCTAATATTGCCTCAAGTTTCTATGCCAGGACTCTCATTCTACACAACGGAAGAGAGCTTATCTGAAGCTTTCTCACAATATGGCCAAGTCATTGAAGGTTTCTTTACATATATATATATATATATATAGTTCTTGACATATCTTTTTTTAGTTTTGTTCCTTTAATGTGAACGATCGCTAACCAATATGACTTGTTTATATACTAGCCAAAATAATTATGGACCGAGTTTCTGACAGATCAAAGGGTTTTGGATTCATCACATTTGCTTCACAGGAGGAAGCAGACAGAGCAGTCTCTGAAATGAATGGCAAGGTGACAGTTTATTTACATCCCAGTGTAGCTGCTTTTATATCCTTTAAACTATTTTATTAGCAATTACTCCCTTCTGTAACCCAGACGATGTTGTTTTTCCATTAAATTGAGATGTCAAGTGATTCTCATGGGATAATAAGTCCTCAGTTTAATCGAGAAAAACATAATAATATTCTAGGGTAAAACGATGATTTAGAGTCACGTGATTTGACATCTCAATGTAACTAAAAAATAACGTTGTTAGAAGTTTATGGAGTATAAATGCTAATAAAATAGTTTAAAGGGTACAAGTGACTATTATTGTATAAGAATAATGGGCATCTTCCCTCATATGAAAATGACGTGGCTCAATCTCAACTAAGTAAATGAATGAGGGAGAGAAACCCTCCTAGCAATACTTGTTAAGATCGAGCTAGATCTTCATTGTATATGAGAGATTCCGCTCATATGTCATATGACATATGATATTCATTTACGTCTTATTATACAGGAAAGATGGTTGTATTTGCAATTAATTTTTCTGTCTTGTTTATACAAATCTTTGCAGATAAATTGACACATAAATTACTGAGTGCAGATATTGAATGGGAGGACCGTGTATGTGGACTACGCAAAAGCCAAAGTACCCCACGATGCTCTTCCTATTGCAAGGCCTCCTCCACAACCATTAAGCGACAAATGATTCTGTTGGCCTTGATTTAGTCAAGGCCTATTTTTGTCCGAGAAATTTCTTACTATTTGAGAAAGTTTACAGTAGTACTTTGTAACCAGAGTCTCTTTGCTTATTTAGAATCTTGTCTATCTGTGAATAAATAATCGAACGAACTTTTATCTCCTCAACTGTGATATTGTACAATTTGGTTCATCTACCCTTTGGTGAAAACAACTAGAATGAAATTTGTTGATTCGTTGTGTAATGGCTGGAGAGAAAAATCCAATGTTCATGTTGCCTGAAGAAAAATGCCTTAATGACCTAAAATATGGGACCAACAGGAGGATATGTGAGGTGTCCCCCTCCTATTGCATAATGAGCTGGCCATCATTAATGATGACCAGCTCATTATGCAATAAGAGAGGGACATCTCACATGTTCCCCTGTTGGTCCCATATTTTAGGTCCTTGTAGCAAAGCTCCTGCCTGAACTTTGCAAAGCTGTGTGGGGGACGAAACTTTACAGTAGTACTTTGTAGAGGTTAGCACTGAATATATCAGTGTTGCTAAGGAGACAATTTCCCTTCTCGTTGTTAAACTGTTATTTCTTTCTCACAAATGAATGGTTCAATTTTCATATGAAAGAAACAACAGCAGATTTTAGTGGTGTTATAATTTCACGGTCACTCGCCATACAGTGCATACATGCGAAGGAATATGCCTTTTAAACTTTAAAATGTAACGAAATCCATTTATCAAGATCTAAAAAAAAAAGGTAAATCGCGCTAAACCCCCAAGAAATTTTAGTATCTTGCAGTAAACACCTGATAACTTATAGAATTGCACTAAACCCGCAAATAACTTCTTGAAATTGCAGGAAACCATCAAATAACTTTTTGTATTTTGCAGATAAAATTAGGGGGGAAAAGAAAAAGGCATTTTGAAAGTTATCAGGGGTTTTACATGATTTATTCTGAAAATTTTATTGGGGGTTCAGTGCATTTTGAAAGTTATTGAGGTTTTTCTACATAATGGTGAAAGTTTTTTGGGGGGTCTAGTGTAATTTACCCTTTCAAAAATCACACTGCCCTAAAGCCCAAACTGCAACCAGGCCCAATTCCTGGCACGCCCCGTTTATACAATGCCCCTAGTCATTTTTAATTTATAAACTTTTAGCATCAGACCGCCCAGTTTTGGCCCCCCAAAATCGCGGTTAGGGTTTTAGAGAGTCGCCATGGCTCGCCTGAATCTAGAGCAAATCGCTCGAGATGACGAAGACCTCGATTCCTCGTCAACAACTTCTCTTAACCTCTCATCTCGAGCTCTCTCCGATGTAAGCAAGTCCTTCTCACAAACTACGGCGGTTAAGGCATTTTCACGAACACTTTGTGTCCTGATATCTCCAGGTTTCGTGCTTGGCGAGTTTCAGGAACTTGGAGAAGCTCGATCTCGAGTTCAACTGCCTCTCCTCCCTCGAGGTGTCGCAATTCGTCGATATCTTTCTTCTGCAAAGTTTGCAATTTGTAACGTCTCTGAGATGTGAAAACTTGTTGCAGGGTCTGTCTTCGTGCGCCAACTTGAAATGGCTGTCAGTTGTCGAGAACAAGCTCGAGACTTTGAAAGGAATTGAATGCCTCTCCAAGCTTACGGTGATTTCCTCGTACTCTTTTATTATTGTTTTAATTTGTGCAGTTGAGCTATGCCCTTTTTACAGTATCCAGAATGCAGACACTCTGGAAGCGTTTGGTTCACGATGGGACAGGGACTAGAACTTTAGTTGGGACTGGGATTAGGTGGGACTAGGATTTGTAATCTCAATCCCACGTTTGGTTCTGTGCTCGATGTCCTTGGGATTAGAATGCTCAAAATCACAATCCCATGTTAGGTTCCATGTGATGGGACTCGGACATAAATTGGGTTGCTATTGACTATTTTAATTACCCTATAAAGTGAAAAGTTTCATTTTTTTTTTCAGCTATTCTTTCTTAATTTTTTTAATGAAGTCCTTGAGCCACTTATCAACTGGCTTGAGGAAGCTAAAGAAGAAAAATAAAAATAGAGGAAATGAATACATGCCAATATTACTAAAATCCACATACCATCAAAACATAAATTGCCAATGTGCATACAAGCCAACAGTACCAAAATCCATAACTAAGTTTGTATTACAGAATATTAATGTCACACACACACACACACACAAAAGATCTACATACCACACTCCGACAAAAATCATATCAACGAACCCCACTAGTCTTCTTCCTATCACCAGCAAGCCTCTTCCAATACCCAGCAACCTCTTGAAACACATCAACAAATCCCACTAAATTCTTCATTGAAAAATCTGTACGAAACCCATATGAAGAGTTAAACATTCAACTAAAAATAGTAAAAATGCTGAAAAATAGACAACAGAACAACTTTATATGAAAAAAAAAACAGCTCAAAAATACAAAAGCCATTGGTAGTCATCACAGCATTGAAAACCATCTCTAAAACATTGGGCAAATCAAGTATTCAACAAAACCAATCTCAGAAAAATACAAAAAATAGCTTCCGAGGTTAAGTTTCTAGCACTTCTCAGGTCCTGTAAAATTGAGAGTTTAACTGAAGTCTTAAGAAAAAACAGGTAACGTATAAATTTATCATGGATCATGTCTTCATTCTGCTTTCATGTTGATGAATATGCCAGAAGAAACACCATATGCAAATATATATCCTAGGAAATAAGAGGTATACAAGGATTACAAAAGAAATATTTTCACATAGCAAATAGGCATTCAGAAATCAGAATAACATCTAGCAGCAGCAAATATTCATACTCAACGATGATGGCCCCATTGCCATCAGCTCATTTAATCTCCATATGAGCTTTCTGGTAAAATCATGTGCCTCAGCGCATCAGCTAGAAAATCATCAAAATCAATAGCTATTACTGCTTCTTCCTTAGCTCCATATACCAGCCTCTAAATTCTGTAAGCAAAGTAAAACCGACTGAGTTAAATCCGTTCAGATGATTTCAGTGAAGTGAAAAGCTATTACTGCTTCTACCTTAATTCAAGAAAGATGAATTGCACCAAAACACATTGGACATGGCTCACAGGAAGCATAAATTTCACAGTCAGAAAGCTCCAGTTGTCCTAGTTTCTTACAAGCCTGCATCAAAGGATCAATCCATTGAGGCACTGTGCAAATGCAATATGTTACAAAGCACACTCTCTGGTACATGAAAACTTAGCGAACATTGCTGTACAAACTTACATGTATATATAACTGTGTATGTACTATTATTTGCATTGCAACAACAAGCTCTAAGCAGTGTTATTCACTTATTTGAACATATGAACACGTGTTTATAGTATCTTGCATTACATCTCTCTAGCACTTGCTGTTTAATAAACGATAAAGTAAATTAATACTCCAGCATGCCAAAAAGGAATGGAGCTCTAGCCGCGAATGCCAAAAAGGAATGGAGCTCTAGCCGCGAATTTGTAACAGAGCATATAAGTACATACTTAACCAAAGCATTTATCACCAGGTAAGCTACTGCTTACAGACTCCAACAAACTAACTGTTATGACCTATAAAAGCTAAGCCTCACATTGCTCTGTTGTTGGTAAAGATAGACTTAATACATCATCTCCATCCATTAAACACTAACCATGATGGATTGGAACAATGTAAAATGGTATTTAGAAACTTTTCACCTCAATCATGAACAAAGATATGAGGTTCAATAAATTTTTCAGATACTCTAGGAAAAGAATATAAAAAACATTGATATATACAATGTATGTTATATTGATTATGTCACTAGATCACAATCCTTGTACCCATCACCTAAAACATTCTCATCTCAGTCAATAAACTAATAACTAACATGCACTAATAATGGATTAATTATTGTTGATAGCAACCATATGGCGACAATAAGAAATATGACAAAATGTATTTAGCACACCAATAGTTAAAATGAGAAAATTCGTTAGTCCAACTTAGCAAATCATGAAGAGGGTAAAAAAATCATTGGAAATTTTAAATTGATAACTCCATTATGTTTTTCAATAGTGTTCTATATATAACACCACCTTCTATAGCACCTTATTTCATTATATACAAATCATCATGTTCAAGACTAGAAAAGGTGGCAGCTTGTTCAGTGACAAATGAATGCTATTAGTGTGCAAAGTTAGGATCTGAATAGAGGTATGCCATCTACATTGGCCACAATCATTGGAAAATTTAAATTAAATGTATATACTATTTTTGTAAGATATATTTCATTCTAGAGCATGCTAGAGTGATAAGTAGATTGGTTATTTTTTAGCAGACCTCTTTCAAGTTGTAATTACATGTAAAACATATTAAACTGGTTACAACAAATTCTACTCAAAATCTTATATGCAAAAAAAAAAAAACCCAACTCATTAGTTTCTCATATATACAAATGAAAAATATATAAATTAGTAGATTCACATATACTTGATTAAGAAACTAACCCCAAATCACATTAGCGATAAACTTTTCTCCATGGGCTAAATTTGATGAACAACTACACATAAATGAACAAAACTAACAAAAAACTAAAGCAGAAACTAGAGCCTATTCATCCTAAAATCATCAAAATCACGAAGATTATGTACCAACATGCAATTTTTTATCTTTTATCATGTATTAATCAAGAAAATATTTTACAGATCAAATCAAAACAAATGTAAAATGCAATTGGCAACATAATACCTCGAGAGATCTGATCACAATCAATGACAATCACAAATGACGAATTTGGGGGCGGAGGAGCAGAGATCAAGTGGAGATTGTGGCTGAGATTGAGACAGATTGAGCCTGAGATCGACCAGAGATCAAGGTCGAGTCGAGATCAAGGTCGACTTGAGATCAAGGTCGACTCGAGGCTGAGATCGAGCAGAGATCGGAGGTGGAGCGGAGATCGAGTAGAGATTGAAAGTCAACTCGGATTCAATGAGAGAGGAGATCAGAGGAGAGCACAAACAATAAATCAGGATCGTGATTTTTGAGAGGCGAGGTTGGATGATAGATCTCGATATCCTAATACCAAGGGGGTGGAGGTATTTCATAATCCTCATTTTGGGTTTTAAACCAAAGTCCCTGTCCCACCTAAGTCTCAGTCCAATGTATTACCAAACATGGGTGTAGACACATGTCCTAGGATTTCAAGTCCTAGTCTTAATCCCTAGCTTAACCAAACGCACCCTATGTATGCAAATTTTAAATTTGGATTTCAAAAAATTGAAAATTTGAATCATTAAATATGATCTAGTATATAGAAACTATCCAGAAATTAAATTCTCAATGTTACAGAAGGCGTTATGCAGACTAGGCGTTCGAGCTGGGGCCTAGCGCCTAGGTTTTTGCCTATTTTTTAATTTATTTTAATTATAATAATTCAAAAAATATGTATTAAGTTCATATAAAATTACAAAAAAACATAAATAACAAGCTTAGATCCATAATAAACCATGAATAAATACTAAATAGCTAAAGTAGTAACCAAATACTAAAAAACATCACAATGTGCGACATAATAAGTCATCAAAATAGTAAATAATATCGCAAACTCAAAAGTCTAATGCAGAAGAAGGAAAAAAAAACGAATAGTCTAAATGTCTAGTATAGGATACTCATATAATCTAATGAAATCATCATCAATCATTATCATCATCATGGAAATCCTCGTCTGTGACATCATCGTCAGAGGCAAGAGACTCTTCTTCTCTAGTAATCATCGAAGGTCCTGCAGCTCCTGCTATTCTTTCACTCCTCCTGTTTGCCACAACCTCAGCCGCTCCAGATACATTCTCCACCATCGTCCAACTAATACCCGAACCATGATATGTCTCTTCCACGTCATCAGAGGGGACTCCTCCTAGGACCTATGCACGTGCTGTAGTACGATCTTTCATTAGCACGCCTTTGCTTTCTCCTCTTTTTTTTGGGCATTGAACTTCACAAACACAAGATCCTCCAACCTCTTCGACTCTAGTTGGTTTCTCTTCTTCATGTGAATCTTTAAAGAAGAAAAGAACAAATTAGAAAAGTCATAAATAGATAACTTTATCTTATTAATTTTAGATATTTATGTAATTTATTCCCTCAAATGTGCTCCAGTTCCTCTCGCATCCAAAAGAATTGCTAGCGAGATTAGTTCCTCTTGCATCCAGAAGAATTGCTAGCGAGATTAAGAACCTTCATCGCCACGTTTTGCAGAAAGGGATAATCACCGTCATACATTGTAGGCTGTCTAAAAATCACAATAGATAGCTTATTCAAACAAGCTCCGACAACGGAGGTCACAATCAGACGACTTCCCAATCACTGCATCCACAACTCCACAATTGCCACAAACGCGACCTCACTTCTGAGATGATTGATCTTGATGGCTGTGACAACAGCATGGCTAATATCATAGCAACTATTAGAGATGCTGATGAGCAGTGTGATGATTTCAGAAATAAAAGGTTGGACTCAGTTGGTGAGTTGCTTGGTAGAGAGCTATGGGCAAATATTCGTCTTCAAGACACTATGGATGTTGATTTCCGTCTAGCTTCAACAACGAAAGCTACAATCAAATAGCTTTCGGGTCGGTGATCGAAAGCGGCAAATAGAGGAC